AGAGTCCAGGAGGAATGAAACTCTCATGAAGTTTTAGCTACGATGGTAGAGGAGGGGCTGGAGGTGGGTTAAAACGGGAACATCTGAATGAAGTCACACGGTGCACACAGAGTTTGCCCTGCAACCGAAGGGTCGTTGGCTCAGCTTTTGCTTTCACTGAGAAACTTCACCTGCATTTCTTATAAATTTTGTATGCAACCAAAGTGAGCTACAACTTGGCATATACATTTTTAAAAAAGGTTAATGTGACTGTGCACCTTTAAATGTTAAAGGCATTGGGGAAGCAATAAGCATGTACTGCAATTACTGTGCACCAACGATTCAGCTCTTAATTGAAACCGGCCAATTTCTCCTTTACTTGACTTGAAACCGATAATCAAACCTAATCCTAACCGTTATCCTATAGTTTTTGTCTTCTTCTGTCTAATAATTGGATTAAAATTTAAATTTTTTCCCTTCTCAACCTGTATATATATATATATAAAAAAAACTAAATTTTATTAATGTTCTGCTCTACTTAAGGTCTCAGTCAGTGTTCAATATTCACTGGGATGTCAGTTAATTTCCGTTTCCCATTGCCTGTTTGTTGTTTGTTTGCTTTTTCATTAAAATCCTAATCCTCAAAAATGTGACTTCTGAGTTTCTGTCTGTGTTTTGTTCCAGATCAAGGAATGCTGAGGAGAAAGCTGAAAAAGCCCATCACTGATGTAGATTAACTGCTGTTTTTTCACCCTTTGGGAAGCAGCTGGCTTTAGTTACAACGCTTTTCAGGCAGTGATGGCTGAGGAGTTGAAGAAAGAGCAAGAAACAACTGCTCACCTGGAGAGAATGAAGAAGAACCTACAGGCAACGATGAAAGACCTGCAGCGACACCTTGATGAGGCTGAAAACTTAGCCATGTAAGGCTACGTTACTCCAGATATGAACTTTCTAGAAGTCCAGCTGAGATTTCAGATATGCAGGTTATTGGTCTTCTTCTTCAGGTGCGAGAGCTTGAATGAACTAGAAGGAAAAAACACATCGGTCTGAATATATTTAGCATGTTTGCAAGCTTGAGAGCAGGATCAGGGAGCTCACATATTAAGTATGAGGAAACCTCCTATTGGTGGAGACCGAGGCCTCGCACATCATTTGCGATATCAATCTAAATGCAGTTTAATTCTCTTTCACTGCTGTAAAGTAAAAAATAAAGCACATTATTGCAGGGTTTATGGGTTCTATCCTATATTTATTAACGTATGAATAGGTGGAAATAAATGATCCCCGTTTATTTTTACAAATGGGTGTTTTAAAAAAAACATTTTTTTCATCTTACTAAAAGTTTGAAACATAATAAAAATTAGTTCTATCATAATTTATTCATTTTATTGACAATATCTTAATAGGAGAAACAAATTTCAGCAAAAGTAGGAAAATCTAATGGGTGTGAATATTGATCTATACAGCAAAATATCCATTTGCATGAGTCCATATTTTCCTCTCAAGTCCAAGAATAAATGTGATGTCTGGACACAGAGCGCGGCTGAGTTTGCTTTTCTAATCCAGTTTCTAAAGGAGGAAACACAACAGGAGTGCAGCCAGAGAAGATATGAATAAATCAATACAGGATGTTCACAGATCACAGACTGTGCAGCCTGACATCAGATGAACACCGACTGCTTCTTTGCTTTCTAATCAGAATATTAATCTGAGTTTGAATCCTGTCTGACTGGTGAAAGCTGATACGTTTACGCCTGTCTGAGAATAAAACCAAACAAACCTGCTATCCTTGGTAGCAGTTTCTATTGTGTTTAACTGGATAGGATATAAGGGATCTACTCAAAGCAGTCCTTATAGCGTCTTGCTACTGTTTAAGCTTTATTGTTTAATTTCCAAACCTTTTGTTTTTAGTAGACATAAGAAACCTGTTTCTGCCTGACAAGTGGAAAAAAACTCTAAGAAAGTCCTGATAATAGATCATATTTTGGAAAACTGGGATAGTTCCATTGAAAAGACAACTAACTTTATCCATCAGGCTACATAAGGAGACATCTTTATGGGAATACACACAGTGACACAAATTAATAATTTATATTATGTATTAAGTGTATGTAATACAAAGCTAGATGAAAAGCTACTGGACACATCTGTATACTCAGATTATACCAGCTAGCTTTCTTTTTCTTTCATTTCCTCTCCTATTCATGCCCCCAAATCACCCTGGTTTATAGATATTGAACCCAAGTTTAAGGTTATTATTGGGATGGGCCTGCTTAACCCTTTATACGGCACTCAAATACTTTGAAAAGCCAAATTTCAAGCCAATAGTGTTAATGGAATCCAGGACAAGACCTTATTACCTTTGTAACATTCAGAAAATATGGATATTTTGATGGCAAAAATTAATGTAAATGTAATAACAAGAAATGCCAACTTGACCGAATATATTAAGAAAAATAAAAGTGCTTCTATGAGAAATTCATGAAAAACACTGAGAGGAAAAGAAACATGTTTTTTGTTACAATCTAACCTTAGGCATTAATGCTGATACTGGCAATTACATGTTTTAGTTTATAAACCTATATATAATTGTAAAACTAGGCTTATTAACTTTTTTAATTTACTTTTTTCATAAGTTTTTTTCAACTTAATTGACAGTATTTTATCATTCAAGGGCTCATCAAATTGGTCAAATGCCAAAATAAGTTGTACAGCCATGTAGCAGTATCTTTGCTGAATGAATAGATATAGATCTTGTGCTTCTAGACCTCACTGAGGGACTGGGGCGGGGTTGCTTGTAAGGGGTCCAAACCCTGACTGATGATGGCTGATTCTTCATTTACTGTTTGTTTCTTACTTTATATCTAATGTATATCTCTCCTAATTCTAGTCAGAATTTTTTTATCTTCTCCAAATAATTTCCACATCTTCTCACCTCTTCCACACATTTCCTGTCTGAAATCTGTGCTTGACAAAATTGTTGACTTTGTAAACCTAAACCTACATCTTTCTTGGAGTTGTTTTTTTTTTTTAGGCAACTCATGTTTGTTCCTCATAATGCTCCCAATAAAATCAAAAACATTTTCTACGGTCCCTGCTCGTACCGGCATGGAACTTACCTGCAAACCTTTTCAGTGGAGTATTTGGGTTTGTTTTTTATAAAGAAAAGCTTTCTGATGTGCATTTGTTAGAAATGTATCTTTTATAATGACCACTTTTTAAAAACTATGGATTAATTTTCCTGTAAAGACTTTTTGAACCTAAACATGTTTTTGGTTTCATAAAAATTCAGAAAATGCTCCATTGACAATGAAGAACTTCACAAACATAAGCTTGTAAATTTCTATACACAGATTGGCCAGGATATGATAAATCTAATTGCTTAATTCCAAAAATGTCAGTGTTCTGATTCAAAAGGTTTTCAAAATTGTCTGACATCCTTTTAGGCTTTCCATTATTAAATAAATTAGTCAAATTTTATTCAACAGTTGACTGCATATTTCAACCTTTGTTTTAGATTGAAGCCGAATCACAAGAGAATCCGGCTTTAAAGTCTTCCAGGGTTAAATTTGTGGCGTTTTTTTTTTAAGCAACATCCAATAAACAATCTTACTGATTGAATACAATCATTCTATATTGCATTAAACTTTTTTTTTTATTATTCAAACTTATTGTACAACAGCTTTTATATAAAGATTGTTCTTTACATAGCAATGAAAGAATGTTGATATTGCAAATAAAGAAGCAAAAATAACTGAATGAAAATACATTCAAATAAATAAGCTTTTTTGCATTTTGAATGGTTCCAATGCAGCTACAGAAAAGCAAACTGAAATACAAAAACTATTTTTGCAGAAGGCTTCAACATTGCAGAGATCCCTGGCTTTCAGTTTTAAAAGAAAAATGTAGTTAAAGTATGAGGGGAGACGCTGCGAAAGTAGACAATTCTACATCCTTATGTTAGGAATGTCAAGATCCGATATCAGATTAGTCCAATTTCAGCCAATTAAACTTCAAATACATCGGCCTGCATCTAAAGTCTCCAATATTAGCACAGCCACACCCATGCTGTGCTTCTGTCTGGTTTCTGTAAACGATTAGGAATAAATGGGTCAATTATTCTTGTTATTGAACGTGGTCACCATTTTACTAATAACACATGTAAAGCATTTTCCAAATTACGCGCCACTAAAGGACAGATAAAAGTATGTGATTCATGCTGATATCCTATTAGATAAATATGGGAGCGGTAAATATATATAAGTGTCAGGTTGGTGTCGGATCAGAGATGAAAAAGTTTCGCTGGTTGACATAAAACTTTCTAGATTATTCATGTATCAAACACCTAGTTTGACACAGATCTCAGATCGAAGTTCAGCTATAAAACTCTAAACACTTTGAAAAGGGTTCATTAGTATCAGAATCTCAATCAAAGCAAAGTCCAATTTCCTTATTTTCATCAGTCATGGTGATTGGATCTTTATCAACATTTGGACAAATAGCAAAAAAACCTAGAAGTGATACAAAGATGTGGTTTAAAAGCTTTGGCAGCCAAATAAATGTATGTTTCTTCAAATCAGCCGAATCATTATTTAATACATTTTATTAAAACATGAAGAATCATTTTAAAGCTTGCAGATTTTTTTCAAAATTCAAAAGTTTCAAGAAGTCCCAGGTTTGAAAGCTATTCTGGTATTCTGAATTTAAAAGAGATTAAAATTCAGAATACCATCTTAAACAACTGCACACAAGGGGAAAGAAGAAATGCAATATGTTTTCTGACCACTAGGTGGATCCAAAATCAACCATCTGGATGGAAACAGGAAGATTTTTTTCCAAACTGCTCATCCATTACCTTTAATAATAATTTATTTGGTTTCCTTCATCAGCTACAATCAGGATTTGATCTATAGAGGAATTATTGTCTTCGGGCAATTATACAAAAAATAAATAAATATTTGGGTTTAAATGGGCATAAATGGCTGATAGGAAACCTTGTAAAAAGATCAAAAAGCAGCACATTAGTGAAAAGAAATAGTCTTTATACATTTATGGATGTATATAAAGTAAAAATGATAAGACAGCAGCAGTTAAACCCCTGAAGACAAACTTTCAAGTCCATGGTGGGCTTTAATGGGCTGCACCATCAATTGCCCTTCTTAAACTTCCTCATGTGAGCCGCTATGGAGCTGATGATCTCCACACTCCGTTTATTCTGTCCAAAATAATCAACAAACTCTCCATCGGGTCCAACGAGGTACATGATGATGGTGTGATCAACCTAGAAACAACATCAGGGTTAGTTCTGCTCCACGGAGACAAAATGTTTAAATAAAAGTGGAACAGCTGAGACTCACGATGTAATCGTTGTCTTCATCCTTGGGCCCCTGACTGTAGTACACCCTGTAGGCCCTGGAGACCTCGTCCACCTGGGCCGTCGTCCCCGTCAGACCAATCAGCTTTGGAGAAAACTCTGATAGAGAGATCAGACTGTGAGACATCAACAGAACCACAGAGAGGGGAAACAATGATCTGGACCAATGGAACCAGCACCGCATGTAGGACTGAAACTAACGATTATCTTGCTAATTGATTAATCTGTTGATTATTTCTTTCAATTAATTGATTAATAATCAGAAAGCCAAAGGTTCCTTAAAGAGGTTTTTTTTTTTTTTTTTTTTTTTTTTTTTTTTTTTTACGAAATTAAACCAGGTGAAACTAAAACTTTTCCACTTTAGAGTTCTGGATAGAAAACATTTACAGAAAATGTTTTTTATCTTAAATGCAAAATGTTTAAATTCTTTATTACAAATTTGACATAATTAGTGCTCCAAGCGGGTTGCTCTGTCAGTTTAAGACGTGTTTTACCATCTGTATACTCCATTTAATGTTTAATTGATTACTAAAATAGTTGACGATTATTTCAATAATCGATCACAACTAATCTGATTTTTCCAGCCATAACTGCATGTGCTACATAGATCTATAAAGAGCTGGAAATAGGATAATTTGTAAATCAGTTCATCTGTTGACTACCTTTTCAGTTAACTCATTTATAAGCAGATGGTAAAATGTACTAAAAGGAGATTTGGACAGAATTTGAACCAAAACTGCTTCTTTAAGAATTCTGGATGGAGCAAATTACCCATATAGAGGGCATGTTTCAAAATGTCTATACGTCATTTATCCATTATAGATTAATGGTTCGGGTCCTAACTTAATAAACATCCCCTATTTTAAAGAAACTTTATAAAGAAGGACTGTTCTGTTTTAGGAACACTTCTAGATGATTTCACAAAGAAGAATTCCTTATAAAATTAAAAATATTTTGGACAGCAGTCAAAAAACAGGATAAACTCCAAGTATAAGTTCAGGATTTCTTCCAAATTTTCAGACTAAACCAAAGAGTCTGTCCTGTTAGAGGGTTCGCAGTGTTGATCCGATACCTTTCACATAAGCAGCCATGGCCTCTGGAGTGTCTCTATCTGGATCTATTGTGATCAATATGGGCGTCAAGTTTGGAAGAGCCTTGATTTTATCTGCAGAAAACCAAACACAAACAGGCTGTTTGTTAAAACGTGATTGTCTCTCCTTTTTCTGTATTTGAAGACGGATTTCATTACCTATTTCATCCACAACTTCAATCATCTTCTCTATCTCGTCTGGGCAGATGTCGGGGCAGTGAGTGAAGCCGAAATAGATGAGGATCCATTGGCCGAGGAAGTCTTCGCTCTCGGTGGGCTTGTTGTTGTGATCGACCAGCGAGAACGGCCCGCCCAGCGCCGGCCGCCCGATAGATTTGTTCCGCTCTTTCTCAATCACTGAGAAAAATAAAACAGATTTTTAGTCCTGGAAATCATGAAAATGTCTGGTTCTTCTTCCAAAAGTTTTTAAGCATCACTTTGATGAAGGAAGTTACTCACATTCCTCTTTTTCTTTCTTGAAATATTTCATCCCTCCCAGCAGAGCACCTCCAAGGGCGAAAGTGACCGCTAATGATTTCCACGTCACAGGCTTTAAAAGACAAAGAACAGGAGCTGATATGAAACAGATCCGTACACCTCAGCAGGACGGGTTCAGATAGGTGGGTTCATAAGTTTGGAGTTTAAATGTACAAACCTGTAAACCCATCATTTGGTTTAATTCAGCTTCAGCATTTAGGAGTGATTAAGAAGCTCTTGGTCTAAATTTAGCTTTCAAGCACTGAGGAAATGCTTAGAAGAAATCAATGCCTGGATGTGCCATAATTTTCTTCAACTGAATAAAAACCAAACTGAAGTAATAATCTTTGGACCAATAGAGGAGAGATCTAAAGTTAGCACACAGCTTCAGTGGCTTCAGCTAGTAACCACTGATCAGGCCCGAAGTCTAGGGGCCGGATTTATCAAGATCCAATTTTGCGTGCAGTAATTTGCGCTCGCAAACTGGAATTTTGCGCGAGGGGCTGAACCATGGTTTGCGGGTGATTTAACAAGAGCGATTGCGTAACTGGTGGAAGGTGCAAAACTGTTGGAGACGCCCTATTTAAATGATGGTTTTGCGCGTTTTGTGGTTTGCGGCAAAGTAGTTTGTAGTCTGTACAAACTAGTGCATTAAGAAATTTAAATCTTACAGTGACCCCCAACAAAAAAAAATAAATAAGTATATATATATATATATATATATATATATATATATTTATTTATTTATAAATTGGCAACCTTTATTCCCTAAGGTGGTATGTGCTGCAGTAAAAAAAAAAAACAAAAAAAAAAAAACAGGTGTTTTGTATTGGCCTGTGACTGTGGATGAGATCCCCGCAGCATTGGCATGTTGCTCCACAGGTGCAGGGGGAGAACCCCGACCCCGTCGGACAGCACTTCTGAAAAAACGAGATTAGGAGATCCCAGCTCACGCTGCAACCGTACGCTGGAATGACCCAGATGCAAAAAAGTGCAACGTTGCAAGGAGTTTTGTGATATCTGGTATTGCGTGGGTCCTCCTTGTGGCTGGCTCCAAATCCATTCGGAGTTCCCCCAACAGCTCCAAAATGGCAATGCTGGATAAACGATAGGTTTTGATGATCGTTTCCTCGTTCATTCCAAAAATATTCACACAGAGTGAAAAAATGCGTTCTCTGCGTCTGCTTGCTTCATTTCGATGTCTCCTTTTTGCGACAATAACCGCTGCCATGTGTGCGCAATTACGCATACAGACCATTTGCACCTTCTTTTGAAACGTGTTAAATATAGAGTCAGATACCGTTAGCAAAATAGCTTTCAGGTTTGATAAATCACTTTGCGAGTGCTAAATTAATATATTTACATGTTCTCCTCCCACAAGACGCACTTTTGCGTGTAAACGCCCCATATTGCATATTCATTGCAGAAAAAGTACTAAATGGATCACAGGCGCTATTTAGCACGTTTTAAAGATCAAATGCTTTTAGCACGCTGTTGATAGATCCGTTTGTACATTTTTTAGCGTGCGCAGTGAAATAGCTCACGTTTTAATACACGCAAACCTTTGATAAATCCGGCCCTAGGTGTAGTGCTGCATTCAGACTTGAACCTCCAAAAGCATTTAAAGGGATAGTTCGGTATTTTTGACATGAATCTGTATGGCATCCCCATCACCGGCGGCATGCAATCACACTGACTTACCCCTGGCAGCGTCCTGTGAGCAGAGTTATCGTCCAGTTTTGGTCAAGCCAAAAGTAGTCCGGCAGGTTTTTAGGAACAGCGAAATAAAACTTTTCTCTTCCCAAAACATTATGTGTTCAAAAGAGTGATATTTTCGCATCCCAAAAACATTGTAGTGGAAAAAGTCACACGTCGTTATCAATTGGTCCTATTTTCTCTCTGTTCGTATCAGTGCGCGCCGTCATTCAGACAGCGAGCCCAACAACAGCCATGTCTCCCTCCGCCGCGGAGGGAGACATGGCTGTTGTTGGGTTTTATTTCGCTGTTCCTAAAAACCTGCCGGACTACTTTTGGCTTGACCAAAACTGGACGATAACTCTGCTCACAGGATGCTGCCAGGGGTAAGTCAGTGTGATTGCATGCCACTGGTGATGGGGATGCCATACAGATTCATGTCAAAAATACCGAACTATCCCTTTAAAGACAATTACAAGGTGGGCTTTCTATAACCTGAAGAACATTTCCAGGATTAAAGGACTAATGTCTCAGCATGATCTGGAAAAACTAATCTATGCGTTTATTTTTAGTCCAATTGATTACTCCAACGGTGTTTTCACAGGTCTGCCTAAAAAGTGGATCAGACAGCTGCAGCTGATCCAGAACGCTGCTGCCCGTGTCCTCACTAAGACTAAGAAAGTGGAGCACATCACCCCAGTTCTAAAGTCCTTCCACTGGCTCCCTGTATCTCAGAGAATAGACTTTAAAATCCTTCTGTTAGTCTATAAATCTCTGAATGGCTTAGCACCTAAATACATCACAGACTGGCTATCAGTGTATCAACCCTCCAGACCACTCAGGTCTTCTGGCTCCAGCCTGCTCTGCAGACCTAGAACCAGAACTAAACATGGAGAAGCAGCATTTAGTTCCTATGCTCCACTTATCTGGAACAAACTTCCAGAAAACTGGAAAAGTGCAGAAAGCCTGAGTTCCTTTAAATCAAGACTAAAAACACATTTGTTTAGGATTGCCTTCCACTGTTCTAGTTAAACAATTCTTTAATCCAACTGCTTTTAATATTCTTTTTTTGTTTCTGCATTTTTTATTTTATTTTATTTGTTTTTTATTTTTTCCTACATGCTTTGATTCTGTTTTATCTTCCTGTATTTTAATCATGTAAAGCACTTTGCATTGTCTTTGTACTGAATTGTGCTATACAAATAAATTTGCCTTGCCTTGCCCTTGCCTAAAACTCTGAATTAAAACCAGATTTATTGTAAAACGCTGCTTCATAGAAAATATAAGTATAAATATAAGTGCTGTATGTACATAAGTTTGTTATTACACCGTTAATTATAAGGAGAAATTGTATGATCTACCAAGCTTGCAACTAAAAGGTGGTCAGTTTGTACCACCTATGCAATAAAGCAACATTTACTAAGCATTCAATATTATCTGCACCAAATATTCTTAAGCAACTGCTTTATAAGAGCTACGGTACAAATTCATCTACACTATTGATTATTTCAGTAATTGACACATCACTTGATCCAATGAATAAAAAAACAACCATTATTGGGCATTCTAAATTAATTTTAAACAGAAAAACTAATATAGTTTATAGTTTTTTTATAGCTTTGTCTCAATTCAGAGGTTGAAGTTAGGGATTTTTATCACTTGCCCTTTGGGTAAGTGACTTTCACATTTCATTTGCCCAGAAACAGTTTTTACTTGCCCAGTATAATGTTTGATAAATATAGTTCCTAATATTCATTTTTGTATATATATATATCAATGAAACATGTTTGTTTTTTGTAATTCAGTATTTTTTAAGTTTCCAGGTTCCTGGTGTGTATCTGCATGCGTCAGATAATGAACTCAAGCCTACATTACCGTGTTAACATGCTTTTCAATCCTTCCTGCACATTCTTTTCAAACTAAACTTTGCTTTAAACTGTTGTGTGCTTGGAAAAATATAAATTTTAATGTTAAAAAACAAAAAAAACTTGACAGGTTAAAAACTTTATATAGGGTTTCCACAGTCTAACATAATTTCAGAATTCCTTGACTTTTAACTGACTCAGGATTAGTTTTCCCTGACAAAATAAATGCAGCCATTTGTCGATTTGGTAACTACATCAAAATTACAGCTAGGTGGAAAAAAAAAAAAAAAATCACACCACCTGGTGGAAAATCACCCAGCTTTTTCAAATCACGCGCCTTTTTCAAATCACGCGAGAATGTGTACAAAACAACAAAAATGGCAACGCTTCTGGGTCGTTTTCATCGAATGTCAGGATTTTAAAGTCATTTTCAGTGATAAATTATTTATTTTTGCGATCATTGCACTTGCCCGGCAGTCAAATGCAATAAAATTTGTACTCTCCCAACAATAAAACGGATTGCCCCGGGAAATCGGGCGATGGTTAACATAGAGCCTTGCAATTACTGCTGTAAGTTATTCTTTCAAGAAATAGCAGGTTTTTTAGTATGTGTACTTTTAGTCAAGTTAATGATTAGATCACCAAATTATTGATGATTATTTCAATAATCGATTAATCATGATTAATCAGATTTATCATTTGACCCCTAAGAATCTGACACAATATAAACAGAAGACAATAAAACCATTAACCAGGGAATGTTAAAAAGACTCCTTATTTTATTTTCCAAATAATTGTTTTCATGCAGCATTTTAATTTATAAGCAACCATGACAGCAGCTGCTTGGTTCCCACAACTACAATTTAGCTGCCCTTAGTTTTCACAGTGTTTGAGTCATTTTGGCTCAATTGGGTGTTGATGCGTGTCTCAGACATGTGCGTTGGACATTTAGGAAAACACGGAACAAATCGCTTTCTGTATCGTTTCAATAACTGACTGCCAAATAAAGTAGGATTCCATATTTTACTGGAAAGTTAGTAACCCCAGTTTACACCTGTGTTCGGTTCTAGTGAATGTAATAAACCTGAAATTAAGTCCAGCTGTTTAAAGAGTTTTGAGTTATAAAGGATGTAACTGCTCTTAAGCAACAAGAGATCGTTGAGAGGGGGGAGTTATTCCTATCTGGAGAAATTTTGGAAGAACAGTGTCCCACAAAAGGACGAGAGGGATTAGGAGTAGGATTAAAGGTAAGAAGCTTTGTCTTTAAAATAAATTAATACAAACCTTCAGTCCAAATTATATACTTGTGGCTTAGACAACACTGAGCATTACCAGAGCAAAACACGATGATGTTGACATCATACTCTGACAACATGACAGTTTTTTTGTCAGTGCATCAACCTCCCAGACCACCAAAGTCTTCTAGTTCCAGCCGACTCTGTTCACCCAGAACTAGAACCAAACCTGGAGAAGCAGCATTTAGTTCCTTTGCTCCACTGATCTGGAACAAACTCCCAGAAGACTGGAAAAGTGCTGAAAGTCTGAGTTATTTTAAGTCAAAGTGAAAAACCTATTTAGAGCTGCTTTTGACTCCTGAAGGTAAACTGTTTACTCAGTGTTATTAGTTTAATTTTAAAGTTTTCTCTCCCCTTGTAGGGGACGCTGCACATATGGCTGTTAACAGCTGCTCCCTCTAGTTTTTCCCTGATCAACCAAGCAACTATTTCAATGAGGGAATAAATAAAAACATCCTTCTCCAAATGTTTGTAACAAAACCACTGTTCCAGCTCTCAGTTATTCTACCGTATAAATCACTCTAATTTTCTCCATCAGTCACTCAGTGGAGCTAGAGTCCTCTCAATGAACTACTTTTTTCATGTTTTTTATCTTTACTTGCAGTTTTTTACTGTCGAGTGCAAAGCGGCTAGTTGGTCAACGGAGGTACTGCATGGGGGGAGTCGCAAAAGTTTTGTTTGATTAGCCTTTTTTTTTTTTATATTCCCCCTTGCAATTTTTTTCCACTAATTGAAATGTCTTTAAATCCACATTAACGTTAATTCAACACACTGTAGTAAACAGATCAATGGAGGCAGAAGATGTCTTTCAGTCATCAATGCTCACATTCAGCGACACACAGGAGCTCTTTCAAACCTGGACACCGTTTCATTCACAACACCGGTCCCATCAACCAGGAATCAGAATCAGAAATACTTTAATAATCCCAGGGTGAAATTACTTTCGTTACATTACTCCATATGTAATAGAGTGACTATAGGACCAGATTGATAGAACACAATTTCATACAATATATACAATATATATAATTAGGGGGTCCCTGCTCCCTGTGGTACACCTGTGGAGTACCACAGGGATCAGTGCTAGGACCAATTCTCTTTACTTTATACATGATCCCAATTGGTAGAGTTATTAGACAGCATGGGATTAATTTCCACTGTTATGCTGATGATACCCAGCTATATCTGTCTATAAATCCAGATGAAGCTAACCCATTACATAGATTACAGGCATGTCTGAAGACATAAAAACCTGGATGACTCTTAACTTTCTGCTTCTGAATGCAGACAAAACAGAAGTTATAGTCTTTGGACCAGAGTCTCTGAAAAAGAAGCTGATTAGTCAGTCACTTCATTTGGATGGGATTAAACTGATTTCAGATAATAAAGTAAAAAATCTTGGTGTTATTTTTGATCAGGACCTGTCATTTAAATCCCAGATCAAAGAGGTTTCTAGAATTTCCTTCTTTCATCTGAGGAACATTGCAAAAATTAGAAATATCCTGTCCAGGGGTGATGCTGAGAAACTAGTCCATGCATTTGTTACTTCAAGGCTGGACTATTGTAATTCTTTCCTATCAGGAAGTCCACAAACTGTAGTTAAAAGCCTTCAGCTGATCCAAAATGCTGCAGCCAGAGTTCTAATGAAAATTAAAAAGAGAGATCATATCTCTCCTATCCTGGCTTCTCTTCATTGGCTTCCTGTTAAATCCAGAATAGAATTTAAAATCCTCCTTCTCACATATAAAGCCTTAAATGGCCAGGCTCCATCTGATATCAGAGATCTGATTGTTCCTTATGTTCCTAACAGAGCACTTCGCTCTCAATCTGCAGGTTTACTAGTGGTTCCTAGAATTTCTAAAAGTAGAATGGGAGGCAGATCTTTTAGTTATCAGGCTCCTCTCCTGTGGAACCAACTACCAGTTTTAGTCCGTGAGGCAGACACCCTGTCTACTTTTAAGGCTAGGCTTAAAACTTTCCTTTTTGATAAAGCTTCTAGTTAGAGTGGCTCAGGTTATCCTGAGCTATCTCTATAGTTATGCTGCTATAGGCTTAGACTTTTGGAGGACATAGGGACCCCCATTTCATCATTCTGCTTCATTCTCTCTCTGTTCTCCTATTCTGCAGAATCTGTTAGTTCAATCTCTAACCTTCTGCTCTCTCTGCTTTTTCTCAGAGTAGCTTTGCCTCGTCTGTTCCTGTTTGGCTGTGACGTCATCCTGGAAAGAAACATCAGCTGTGCTGCTTCCATCAACACCCTTGTTTATAGATGTTGGAGATCGGCCTGTTTTCCAGTGTGGTCCTGTTTCTCTGACCGTGACTGAGTGGATGTGCTCTCTTCGTCCTCTGGCATGGGAGCTGCCTTGGAGCTCGTCTGCCTGGCTGTGTGTTTCCTGGACGGGGCCGCCTTTTACAGCTGCTTTTTGTATCTCTGCTTCTGTCTCCTTGAACCCCAGTCGGCCTCGGCAGATGGCCGCTCACACTGAGCCTGGTTCTGCTGGAGGTTTCTTCCTGTTCAAAGGGAGTTTTTCCTCTCCACTGTCGCTACAAGCATGCTTAGTGTGAGGGATTGTATTTGAGTCAATGAGTCGATACAATCAACTGGTTTTCCTTAGACAGAAAAATTTGTATCAATTTGACTGGATGATCTGGTTGAACTGTAAAGTGCCTTGAGATGACATGTGTTGTGAATTTGGCGCTATATAAATAAACTGAATTGAATTCTTACCATCAGTTTGGGGGTCCTTGGTCTTGAGGAGCCCTGGTGTAAAGCACTCTGAATTGTCTTTGTACTGCACTGTGCTAAATAAATAGTTTTTAAATCCCTAACCCTGGTTTATGTGTTAACAAGAATTGTTTTATTCTTTATAATTTAAGTTAGTTTATGAGATAACATCCAAATGATTAAAAAGAATGGTTTCACTAGAAGAAAAGGTAGATTCTAGAGAGGCGAGTTCCAGGGGCCGCCATATGTGGCTCCAGAGTCCTGCATTTTTCTTTTGCTGCTCCTCCAGCTATGACAAAAAATGTGTAGCTTCAGCAGTTCTATTATAACATTTCTGTCAGGGTTTAACAGAATAATAAATTAGTTAAAATGTATGCTTTTCTTCCTACATTAAGAAACTAAAATTATGTGTTTTTATCTACTTATTTGGGTTTATGGATCTAGACAAAGCATTTAGAATGAGCATAGAATATTTAATCATAAAAGACAGCTAGCCTTTGGCTTCATTAGACACCAAATTTTAATCTTAGATTTATTTTGTCATTTTGTATACACAAGTGTACACAAAAAGATATTTTGTTTAGAACAGTTCTCTCTACAATTTAATTTTTTTTAAAGTGCAGCCTTGATCTAATCTAACCTAATCTAATCTATTCTAAGCTGGAAACAAACTGTGAAGTCCTGATTAAAGGCTGTGGACCAGAAACTTCTGATGAATTTTGAAACGTTCAAAAAGTTCTCCAATTAAGCATTAGTTTAGGTATTTTGCAATCAGATAACATTTGGAAAATTTTACCTCACATTTGAGATGAACTATAAAGCTTTTATAAGATGTGACAGCTTTCTTCCCACCTACCCCTGATTTCTTAGTCTTCTCGCCTGATGATGATGAGGGTGGAGGCATCGAGGAAAATGATCTCGATCCATGAAACTTGAGCCATTGTGTTCTTCTGTAGGTTTGCCACCGACTGACACTCACCTGCAAGAGACCACAGAGCAAAATATGACAGTAATTAGATTCATTAAGCAAAAGAAAGCAAATTTCACTAGTATAATTAAAATTAATGTGATAAGTTATATCACCGAATTCCGTAGTAAGGCCCAAAGATAAATATAAAATTAAAAAATATATACATTCTTTATTCCAATTTAAGGAAATGTGACATAGGCGTTAATTTGCCTGATTTTCCCAATCGAGTTTGGTTTCCCAAAGAGAGCGGTAGTTCCTAGCTTTGACCTACCAGGTGGACGAGATCTGCTCGCGATGAAAGCGTCCGGTTCAGTCCAGTTTCCCTTTGAATGAAGCTGTGAGCCAGCCTGACGGCTCGGTTCGGTACGGCTTTACTCCGAACCAGCCAGCAGCGCTGAAACAGGACGCTCATGTTGGCTTTAACCTCTGCAGACCCGCTGTTGCTAAACACACGGAAGTTACATAGAAAGAGAAAAGCTGGAGAGAAAAAAAAACTGCTGTTCTCGTGTCAGTTTGCCAAGGTCAGTCTGTTTAAGATTAGCATTACAGCATGTAAATGAACTGATCTGAAATCAGCCGTTTCAGACGCTTCTTCTTCTACTGTTTATTTCAAGCCTGGAGGCTCTCTGCTGCCATCAAGGGTAGAAAGTTAGGGTTGCAGACTAAAAAAAAAGAGGCAGAAAATAGTTTAAAGCATTTATTTTTATAAAATCCAGACTCTATTTTCAAGAGACAAAGTTTATTTTATTATAATTTAATAATGAACAAACAAATGAAATTATTGTTTTTAATGCCTTTTTATTAAGCAGGTCCACAAAAAACAGCATTTCTTTGGTAAAGGATCGGGCTTTCCAACAGACAACAAAAAAGTTTATAAAAAGCAGACAACCTCAAATATAGCTCCTTTAAATTGCAGTTTTACAGTGTGAAGGCCAGTCTGATCTCAGCTCCTTATTGAAGTGGTAGTAAAGCCAAGCCACAATCGGGAAAACTGTGATGCCAACAGCTGTGGAGACTCGCAGCATCCCAACTGGGCCTCTGATAAAGGACAGTAAAGAAGGAAAACAAACAAGCTTTAATCTACTGAAAAAGATGAAAGTTGATTTGTCATGAGAGTAAATTACCTTCCAGAGTGGCGACACAAAAGGAGCCAAACAGCCGTTAGCGTTAGACCAGAAAATTCTCTAAAGAGATGGAAAAGGTTATTATTGATAGATAATTTCTCACAACTGCTATGGGTGTTCCTGCTCACCAATAGCCTATGCAAACATATATATTTATCCCATTATTATAAACATCACTTTACTAAATAGCCAAATGGAATAAAGTTTTTACACTCTATGAAAAATAGATTTTTTTTTTAAATCCACACTTGATTTTTAGGCATGTAAAAATATTTTTTTATTTATGTTTATTTGTTTTTAAAGAAAATGGCACTTATAATTCAAGGACAGTGCTAACTCCTGTGTGATCATCTGTTCGGGTAGCAGCATCAGAACTGAGGACTTGGAGCTCAACGAGGCTTGTTCTCTCCTGGGAGTTTTCTTTAGGAGTTTCTTTATAAAATTAAGATCATTAAGGACAGAGGCAAGTGATTGTTGTACAACAACAGTGTCTTTAGTTAGAAGCTTCATCAGATCCACCGCAATAAAAGATGCTCAAAGAGCCTTAGTGCCTACAGGCACTCAACTCTAGTACAAACAGTTACAACTAAATATAATTTCCATTCGCGATCAGCAAAGTATTTATGGATTGAATTTTAATTCAATTACATACTACTTTGATCTGGTCAGATGAGTTCCCCGGTAAATGAATTACAGAAACACCAAGGAGATTGAACCAGGGTTTGGAACCTTTAGCAGTGTGGGCAGGTATCTATGAAGGACCAACTCTGCCATATTTAAAAATAAATACAGAAATAAATAAATGCTCATTAAATGTATAAGCATACAATTAATTGCCAACAAAAAAGTGAGACATAAATGTATATAACTATTAATTAGCTTCTTTATTTATTTGCCTTTGTAATATTTACCTTATTTATTTTTCTGTCCTTTATAATCTTCAACTTTATTTTTTAATTACTTATATTTTTAAGTATTTATTTATGTGCATGTTATAATATTTTTGTCTGTTTTATTCTTCCTTTGTATTTTTTTACCTTAGTTATTTCTTCGCCGCTGTTTATTTCTCTCTGCCCTTTTTACATTTCTCTCTGCCCTTTTTACATTTCTCTATGCATTTCTGCCTCATTATGCAAATGAGGAGGGGGTGTGTCCTAGAGAGTCAACTTCTGCTCATTGGTTGGCTTGGCGGTCCATCTTCTTAACTCACAGAGCTCAGAGTACTAAGTTAAATGTTCTCTTTTCTGTTGCTGTTGTTCAATAAAAGTACGTTTTAAGATCATTTGAGGCGAGAACCTTATACTTTTAAGCATCACCATATGGCCCATTCACAGATTTAATGCGTAATTTAAAAGAAAATGTGACGAACTTGAGAGGACTGTGGCAACCAGCGGAGCTCCGAAGCTGACGGCAGCCAGGTCTATAGCCAGGCTATGATGGCGATTTTTTGTTGTATTTGGCAAAGTTTGGCAAAGTCCCTAGTCAAGTTCTAATGACTTCAGACTCGACATCAGACTCTCCTCCTGTAGATTCGACCGATGTAGTAAAATGCTAACCAACACGCTTCACACACAGCTATGCCGAGAGAGGGCCGCTGCAGATGGGCTGTGGTTAGACCTGGCTGCCGTCAGCTTCGGAGCTTTGCTGGTTGCCACGGTCCTCTCAAGTTCGTCACATTTTCTTTTAAATTACGCATTAAATCTGTGAATGGGCCATATGGTGATGCTTAAAAGTATAAGGTTCTCGCCTCAAATGATCTTAAAACGTACTTTTATTGAACAACAGCAACAGAAAAGAGAATATTTAACTTAGTACTCTGAGCTCTGTGAGTTAAGAAGATGGACCGCCAAGCCAACCAATGAGCAGAAGTTGACTCTCTAGGACACACCCCCTCCTCATTTGCATAATGAGACAGAAATGCATAGAGAAATGTAAAAAGGGCAGAGAGAAATGTAAAAAGGGCAGACAGAAATAAACAGCGGCGAAGAAATAACTAAGGTAAAAAAATACAAAGGAAGAATAAAACAGACAAAAATATTATAACATGCACATAAATAAATACTTAAAAATATAAGTAATTAAAAAATAAAGTTGCAGATTTTAAAGGACAGATAAATAAATAAGGTAAATATTACAAAGGCAAATAAATAAAGAAGCTAATTAAGAGTTATATATATTTATGTCTCACTTTTTTGTTGGCAATTAATTGTATGCTTATACATTTATTGAGCATTTATTTATTTCTGTATTTATTTTTAAATATGGCAGAGTTGGTCCTTCATAGGTATCAAGTCATGTTACACTAAATAATTACCAAGTGTGGAAATTAATACTCGCCGTCTTCGCTCTTATTCCAGACTCTGCAAGCTTTTATAAACAAACTGGATGTTACTTTAATCTGAAAATTGAACTTTGGACTACTGAGCAATAGTCCAAAGATTTATGACCTGCAAACACTATCCATAAACCCAAGAAATTTATTTGTTTACTTAAGTTGGTGAAAAAAAAAAACAGTTGTGACTCCCTTTACTTTACAGAAAACCTAACAAGCATAAGTTCATATAGGACCACCAGAAATGATAACAATAAATCCCTCCTCAAAGATCTGATTAGTAACAAAATAGATGTCAGATACCACTTAAAAAAAACGTTCTGCAAAAATGATGCATGGAGGACAGGAAAGAATGACATGATTGCAATTGCTGCTCTTGTTGATTAGCAGCAGATCTTGATGGCAGGTAAGACACGTTAACCTGACTCCGCCAGATGGATTTGCTGCATTTGCTCTGCATATCCATCTGGAAACCTTCCGTTGAAGTAATTTTGGGAAGGGGCGAAAATACTGGTTAGCTGATTGGCCTATGTTGGTGATAGACGGGCCAAATAAACCAATCAGATCAACGAAGCATATGACGTACTAACAGAGCGACGACGAAGAGGAGCCAATTGATAGATCAAACTCTTGCCGAAACCAGTCGGGAGAAGAGCAAAAACATCTTTTCCTCTGAGAAAAGCCTCCAGAGCAGTGTTTTGCTCTTCTTTCAGTGAAGAAATACTCTGTAATTCCGATAAAACTTGCTCGATAGCCACGCTAACGCTAGTTTCATCGGCTGAAGCCGCCATGTTCTTTAGACTGAACTGTCGAGCTTCTCGTTGCATCACACCTCAACCCGCCTCAAAGCCAACGCTGATTGGACGTTCGTTTGGTGAACGGCTCCAAATTTTCTTTAACGGAGAGTCTCCAGACTGATCTGCGAGTGAAACCTTGAAAGCTCCAGAGAACAGGATGGTCTCACGAGGCTAAAGACACATCTGATGAGTTCTAAAGTTTAAGAGTGAACTTTATTTTGAACTTTTAGAATTGCATTTATGAAATAAATTCATATTTTAATCTAATTCTGATATATGCAGATGCATCTCTAAACATCAAACAAGTGCGTAGTTTATTTCACTCCACTTTAACTCCGATGTACTAATTGGGTCTGCTGACCCTGAATGTTAGTGGGCAAAACTTCATGCCTTTAAACCATTTATTTTGGAAGATGGTTCCGTTTTTTTTTTTTTTTTTTTTTAAATATTTAGACCTAAGAAGCTCAGTTTTCTTTTTATCCAGTTGACATGAGGTGATACCATACCTGCCCTCCTCCTGCTGGAAGATCTGCGTGACTTGTTCTCTGTAAAGTTTCCACCCTAATATGAAGATAGCTGCACTGGAGATCATTAGGTGGAGATCAGCAACTCGCCTCCAGGGCAAAGTCTCTGAAATTAAAGACGAAATACTGAGATGAAAAATAACTACTTGAAGTGTTACCCCATTTAGCCTCTAGATGGTGCTATTACATCCAGTGAAGCATGCTTTAATGGTACAGAGTCCAACGATTTACCTCAAAACTCCTATATAGTTAAAAACAAAATCTAAAAGTTTCTTTTCAAAGTTGTACTTCAGTATTACTTTTCAAAGCAATTGTCTCTTTTTTTCCTATTCTAAAAACAAGTGTGTATTTTGTAGATGTGAGGGGAACCACTGAGCATATTTTTGTTAATTATGTCGATGTTGCTTCTTTCTGGTTCCACTTGCAATCATATATTTTCATGAATATTTCAAAAAAATATATTTCTGAGCAAATTATAAATACTTCAGAGTCACTAATTCATATTTAACAACCAATTAAAATATATAATTAATTTAATCCTTTTATACATAACATAATAGGGCAAAAAAAAAAAAATAGACCCTGCTTTTATGACTTTAGAATAACAGTTCTTAAACATTTGAAATAAACAACTGGGGAAAAAACAAAACAAAACAAAAAAAAAGTAAATCTTCCAAAATAATCCAATAATTTAATCATTTAGTAACAGTGCAGCAGATCTCTAGGT